GTGATGAACAGAATTAAGAACATGATCGTGAACAGGAGACATAAGTTTGTGTATTGTTAAGATTAAGCAATGTGCAAATGTAGTGTAGAAACTTACTAAACTTTCATATTTGTTTTAAAATGAGCATATCTTGTTAAAAATTGGATTCAGTTTGTCAGGTTAAATGGAAGTCTGTTGGCACTCTTTGAAGTCTTAGGGTAGCGTTCTTGACTAGCAAAATAATACCGTTATAATATTGTGTTGAAGCGTCATTTGTTAAAAATATCCAGAATCTAATTGCATCGCCTTTTTCACTTCAAATATGTTTAGATGATAATATAGTACTGTCCATAGCTCTGCAAAGCAACTTCAAACAAAAACCTGTAAACCAGTTAAGAATGTCTATGAAGTAATAACAGTATGACATTATTTGCAGGGCTTGCATACAGAAAAACACTTAGAAGATTTTTTGGGAAGGGGGAGAGTAAGGGAAGAGAAACAAGGATAAGCAACTTACATCAGGGAAATGCCAAACTGATGCAGCATCAGAGTGTAGTTTAAGATGTACACTTGAAACTGTTCCCACTTTCCTGTTTCCTCAAAGAATGATCAGACACAGCATCACAATGTATGATCTTCCTCAAGTTTTTCAGTTGTGTGATGAAGAGTTAAATAAAAACCTGAGTAATAAGCTTTACAGAAATAGAAGGTCAACAACGTTCCTCATGCTCCTTGTGAACAATCAGCAGTGAGGAACTGAGACTAAGTCTTTCCTTGCCACTGTTTTCTTTCCTTCTGAAGTGCCAAACTTGTCTTTGCTTCAGGCCTTAGAGCAACTGTTTTCCTGCCCCAGAGCCTGAGCTTGTGAAGTACCTCCTGAGGTACTGCACAAAAACATCTAAGGTGGACAACTGCAGTGGAAACAAAGTGGCTTTTGCCTCTCAAATCTGTGCTGCTCTGAGCAACACCTAGTGTCAAGATGCCCAGTCTTTTTTTTACTGGCTTGGCTGTTTGTTAGCAGGTTCTGTAAAGGAGCTGGGCCCAAATTAAGGGTCTGAGCAATTCGCATAGAGGCAGCATGTCTAGCATAATCAGTACTAAGGGGGAGCAGAAGCTGAAATACAAACGAGGATGTAAGTTTTAGCAGTACTCAGTTGCATCTGTTTCATCTTGCCATACAGCAGCACTGCAGACTTACTTATGGATGTTACCTAACACTGAGGTCTGTCTCTTCAGCAATGAAGCCACTGTACTTGACCTTTTAACGAAAGGAAACCACTAGTTCACAGATCTCTTTCAACCTTGCTGTGATGAATTCTATAAAATAAAGCTGCAGAGACTGAATGAGTGGATGGAACAGTAAAACAAATCCCTCTCAAACCCCAGCTTTCTTGGCAGCTGGGCACTGCTGTGTCTCAAGTGTAAGCTCACACTGTGAAGCTCCCCTGTCCCAAAGGGGAGGTCTCCCATTTCTCTCCATATGAGATGACTGTATGGCACTCACTGGAGTGTCAGCCAAGTCAAATGATTGCAAACAAAGCACTAACGGTTCAGTCTGAGAGCTGTTTACAAATCTGAGTCAAGAAACCTGATGATGAAAAAAGTTTTACCCACCAAGTCACAAATGGCTGATACTATTTGTGTCATAGGGTCCTATAAACATCCCAAATTATTTTTCATCTTCTACGGACTACTCTCTCACTTTACTGCCTATCTAGAACTCTAAATTCAGGAACTGCTGGCAGGTAGAATAGATCACATGGTTAATCCAAGGTTTGAGCATTAAACAAAGAGAACAACTACACTAAGCACTTGACTTCTGAAGATTGCATCGCATTCCAGCCATCCTAGCTTTAAAGGCATGTCACTGCACATCTCCATCTGCACTGTAGGAGATCACGTGGTAACAGAGCATGCGCTTGTTAGACTCCAGCAATTTCCCAAGATCAAGTAACCTTGAAATCATGGTTTTGTATTGTAAGACTGGATAGTGATATTTTATCCATCGGTGTGTATATAGTAGTCATTTCATCTATATACCATTTTACATCCCACTACTGTGGCCTTCATTTAACTTATGAACATTTTAAAGATGTTGTATTTCTGACTTTACACTAAATAAAAACTTTGTATTTGTCTCGATTAGTTTGGTCTAACATCTGTAAACCCTAAAACTTCTCATAACTATATGTAGTCAAAAGGTGGAAAAGTAGTAGGGTTTCCCATCATCTTAATTGTTTCTACATAGCTGAGGTGTCTTAAAGACTAGATGTAATTAGCAAGTATTAAGATTAAACCTGGGTTAATTAATCTATTTTCAGCAAGCTTCCAGTTGCTAACTCCCTTGGTATTTTCACCCCTGAATCTTCAATTTCTGTATACTTTTCTGTTCTGGCTAAAGGAAAAGGATTGGTAGCCTGCATCCCGTGTTGTCAAAGCTGAAACTTGTACCTCTCCATGTGGGAGAGCTTTAAGCCAAGTTAGAAGAGAAGAGATTTTACCTTTCGCTACATATATAATGAGCTCTACGTTAGACACAAACCAGAATTACTACTTCATCATTACCTTCATGAAGGGAGAAGCTAACTGAGGAGTAGCTTCAGCAATAAACAAAAAGGCCTGAAGTCCTACTTAGCCTTCCCTGATGCTCAGTCTGGGATTTGATGTGCTCTCTAAGACTTACGATGTAAGCTGGTAAGAGTGCAAGCTGCGGAGGTCCAATATTCAGAGTTCCAAAGATGACTCTGACAGTTTTGCCTTGACAGCAAGGCATCCTGGAACTGGATTATCATTAGTTTGTTAATTTCAAAGCACTTCCGAGCAGCCATCATGAAAAGATCAAGTGTTTTTCCTGAAATACCTGTTCAGATATAAATGGAATACACGCAGGACCTGCGGGAAATCTCAGTGTCGCAAGTGTCAATGGAAGGGCGTTCTCCTTTTGCCTGGGTTCCTAGATCTAGAGCTTCAAATCCCCAAAGGTCTGATACTTCTCCCCTAGTTGCTAGCATAAGACTAGAGCCAAGTAAGCTGATGTGTAGAAGGATGTCTTCTACCTCCAGGTTCCAGGTAATCGAAGTCATTAAGTCAGTAATAGAGTGAGATGAGCCTTACAGAGTCAGTCTTATTGCAAACAGCACCCTTGAGTCATGGCCTCAGAAGACCATTATACCCATAATAAATTGCTCCTCATTTACTGAAGTGATCTTGACAGGGCATTTATCAAGACTTTATAGGAACCTTAAGTTCAAAACCCTAAGGGAAGACTAGCATCCTCTGTGGGGTGACCAGTCCTTAGAGGAAATGCATCATGCCAAAACAAACAAAAAAACCCACCAAAAACCAACATAACACCCCACCCACAAACTCAAAACAACCAACCAACCCCAAAACCACAGCCAAACCCTGTCCAAAGGACTTTTACCAGGCTCAGACAAGATGGATTAAGAGTGCTGAAATGCTCCCTGACAGCTCACAGTAGCTGTTACTAGCAGGATACCACATTAGTAACAAATTCTATCACTGAAAAGTCACAGGCAGGAGGAGGAATCTGGAATCTTCACTTCCTACCTTTTGCATGTAGACCCTAAATAAAGAGGAGGGAACTTGCATTTAACTTCAAAAAAACCCTAAACAAAACCTGAAACTTCAAAAACCAAACAAAAAACCAGAGGCTTTTCCATGTAGTTCACACAAACCAGAGTTCAAGATAACCAACTTTTGAACATTTTGACACAAGCACTTGAAGACACTGGCTTCTTCATTAGGGTTAATTAAGCATTCATTTGTTAGAGACTTCCATGGAATCTTTGCTGACTCAATTTGCTGTGAAAATATTTCTCTTTTCAAGTGAACTAACTTCTTGCCACGCACAAGGAAACCTGTTAGGTTCCTTATGAATTAATGTATTTCTACTTGTTTTTAATGTATGGCTGCTTTTGCTAGCGTTTTGCATCCTTCTAATATTATAGGCAGCTGCCAAGCAGCAAGAGGTTTATGGTGACTGCAGTTTTATTGTTTCTTTTAACATACAGCTGAACTTCAACAAAACAAAGTTTCTTTTACAATATGCAGTTTATTTAAACTATATTATGAGAATGCCCAGTTACTCACATCTGTAAAAAACTTAATCCATCAAAAATTCTTATATTAATAAAATTTCATGTTAAGCAAGAATTATTAAATATTTTTAGGAGGCAATGTACACTTAGCAAGTATTCTATAAACAGAGGTTATATCACTCTGGCTTGGAACAGGAGAACTATAAAAGTTTGAAAAAGTCATCTGTATATCACTGCCGCAGATTTGATATCCGTATTCAAAAGTAAAACAAGTCACATCAATTACCACTTGTTCTATGAGTATTCTATTTTAAAATATCTCTCAAAAATAAATTACTGTAACCAATGTCTAAAGTGAACAGGTGACCACCCATGTAACAAGATCAACTAAAATAAATAATTTACAATAAAAATTTTTGCTAGCACTAAATCATCATACAAAAACAATTATTGCATTTAGCTCTGCACAGAAAAAAGTACCTTTTCTCATAGCAACGTGAACTGCTATAGATGCTGCATCTATACTATCCATCCTTTTCTAGCTGAAAAGTGTAAACAGCTGATTTTGTGCTAGAGCTTCAAAAATATTATCATTTATTCATGTTTTTTAAAAATATTTAGAGTAAATTTCTCTCCAGCTAATAGTAATTTCTAGGCATCTTCAAATCTTAAGAATCTTCACCTTAAAAATCAGTTGGCCAACTTGTAATTCCCCTTCTGTTCTGAATTCGAAACATCAGCTGACTCCTCACAGGTAGTATTTCTCCTTAAAAAAAGGGAATCAAGCAAGTCTGGGAAAGTTAAAAAAGGTTAGAGGTTAGAGAATTAAAATAGGAGGTTAAGTAGCAACGAGTCTCCCTTTTCCTTCAAATCTCAAGAATTTGCATGCTCTCAGGCCCACTGAAACAGCATATGAAAAGTTTCTGTTATCTAGACCTACAAATACTAGCTGGAGGTAACTCAGTCCTTCCGTACTTTTCTTTTGCGCACTGATTTCAATGCAGCATCTCCAGAACTTGTGCTTTCGTCAGCTTCTTTCATCTGAAAAAAAAAATAAAATTCGGCATTAAAATTTCCATTTAATTATTGAAACTTGCATGTTATTTTATTCCTCCTCCTGACCCCTCCAATCATATTACCACTAAATGCAACACTTACGTGATAGGACATGTTTTTTCCACAACACTAATCTAACAATAAATAAAGAAGGTAGAAGACTTTTCCTTTCTATATTCAGAAGGAAAAGAATAGTACATCTAAATCTAAACTGATGTCAGAAATTTGGTTTTGCCCATTTACTCACTGGTTTAAAAGCAGTGACTTTTCAATGAATTTAGCAACGTCCTTAAAGTGCATCTTATGGTAATTTTGATTTCTACATCTTAAGCAAGAAACACTTAAAACATTCAACTGCTGCCTTTGGAGAGCTACAAAGAGAACAAACTGTTCTTAAATCAGATGTGGTGTTCTCAGTTGAAAAGCAATTAGCTTACAGAGGTGCATGAAAAGCCTTTCCAACATGAACTCCATTCTCAGACATTGTATTGCTTCCTCACTTTCCTGCATCACCTAATGGCAAGCACCTCATTCCGAAGGAACAGCTCACAGAATGTGGCAGAACCTGAGTGAGGACATGGTGTGCATGACATCTCTCAAGTAGGTCACCAGCTAACTCAGGACAAACTTGTACATCCTGAAATTAATGGAGTTCACCAGATACTGTATTCCTAGGTAAACGTACAAGGGAAAAAATCCCCACAACTTCTTACAGGAACAAGAGGAAGTACTGAATTAGGGGTAATTAATGATGAATTTCAGAGCTGAAATAATGCAACCTCATGCAAGTCATGGTTTCCTAGAGGAGTTTTATATGAAAAAGAGTTCACGTCACATTAACCTACTCCTCTTCCTCTGAGAAGGGACACATTTAGGGAGTGACAAGCACAAGATGACCAACAGAAATACTGTGGGTGGATCTAAAGCATTTCAGACAAACCAGAGTTTCTAAATGAAAGGATAGTGAGTAGTTGACAAGCAAAAAAAGCACACACAAATTCCATTCTACAATGTTTTCTGAAAAACATTGTCTAGATTATCTGGTGACTGGATTCATCTGCTCAAGAAAAATGAAACTGCAGGTGCTGAATCAAAACCAATATGGTCATTTTGCTTAAAACTTTATTTTGGAATAAAAAAAAACCAACTGAAAACTGAAGGTTTTTCTAGGTCTCACTGAAAGGCTATTCAGTTAGAAGCACGTGTTCATTAAGCAGCATGACAAAACCAGATTGACATCTAACACAGCATCCAAATTTTCAAGACTTGCAACTCATTTAATCACCCGTTAAAAACTATACTCCAGTAAAAACGCTTCATGTTTGGAGACCTGTATGATCACTTCTATACTATACCTATATTTTACAATAAATATCACCTCCTAGCCAAAATTACACAGAAAGAGACATGTTTCACAAACCTATATAGAGCATTTGAGATGTCAAACTCAAATAGACACACTCCTACCTCATGATTGTTTTATGGCTCAATGGAAGAAAAACTCTCCTTGTAAGTAACTGGGCTTAGTTAGAAGATCAATGCTGGACAAGGGCAAGGAGAAAACAGGGGGGGAAAAACCCCAAACTTACCTCATCTTCTGAACCAGATTTATTTGACTTATCACCTTCTTCTTGACTTCCATCTGCAACTTCATTTTCTTCTTCTTCTTCATCATCATCAATATCTTCACCACCTTCACCCTCATCCTCTGCAGAATAAATTAATTTTACTTTGTAAATAGAACGATATTAAAATTGCACAACATCCAGACACACTAGTAAGGAAAAGACTAATTTCAGTCTTAGAACGAACTGCTTGTTTACTGCCCATAAAAACATCTCTGTGATACAGACAGTAGAATTCTCATGAATTAGTAAAAATTGATCACTGGCAGATTTAATAACCAATTTTAACAACTTCAGCCTAGCCTCTTTTCACCATAGCACATACCCTCTTCAGATTTGTGACTGACTAAAATTACGACCTTAAGTTGGCTTTCTTTAGGGAAGTCCTTAAATCCAACTATTGTATTAAACAGTTTTGAGACGGGAGTCCAAAATCAGACAACTCAGGCATCCCAAATCTGACCAAACTCTGACTTAGATAGCAAAGTACAATATTGCAGTTATCAGTCATTCACCATGGGAGATGCCTACATCCTAAGGAAACTCCCGTTTTTAGCAGGGGATTCTTTTAGCATACTGTTTTGGTTGAGGGATAACCAGCTCTGTGCTTACCTGCTTCTTATGCATTATTGCAATGCAGAAACTAGTCAGAAAAGCACTGTACTCCCCTCAGCTCACTCGAAGCATGTCCAGCTTGCACTACTAGGATAAAACTATTCACAAAAAGCAGTAAGCTTTCTGTGAGATCTGGTGTCAGTTAGACCTTTGAACTGACAGGGACTGGAGAGGAAAAAGAAAAAAGAAAGTAAAAGTACCACCTCAGTCTTCAGAACTCCCTGAACAAGGCTAAGCAACACAGAGGTAGCTTCTACTTTCTTACTGAGGCCATGTCACTGCACTGAAAAGCAGTGCATGCAACAAATACTGCAAATTCTGGGCTGCTCTCTGATCAGCACATAGGTTGCCCTTCTAGGGTAGCCAACTCTCTATATTCTGCATATTTTTTGAAGGAGGCCAGGCACCCAACTATTTTGATTTCCACTCTGGGCTTCAGTATTTATAAAGCTGGCACTCCCATGCCTGCATTTTAGGTATCTATGCTCATTGTAAGAACTAAACTTCAGTAACCACAGCATGATTCAAATAAAAGATATTGGGGTTTGGCAAGTCTCTTCCTTTACTTCAAACTGAGGTCTTGAAGTGAGAATTTCTAGAAATTCAGTATCCTTTGCAATACTTTCTATCAGAAGTAAACAAGAAACCATACCTAAATCTGATAGAAAGGATGTAAGATGGCATTTTACAGCTTCACAGTCTGCCGTGGCTCAATTAAAAACAGTAATGAAGCACTGCTCCATTCCATCCTTGTCAGGTCATGTCTACATCTCATAAGCATTACTTCAGTGTTAAAAAAAATAAATGAACCAACCAAAAAAAACCCCACCACCCAAAAAACCCCACTCACCACCACCCCCCAATTCTTACTGTTTCAGCTCAAACAAAAGTAACCATATAAATTCAGATGGTAGTCACCTAAGATGTGACTCCGCTGATTCTTGGCAGCGAAAATCTAGAAAGCCCTAATTTATTAAAATATTTGAGACTTCTGTAGGAATACCAAAAAACTTTGCCTACTTTATAGTTATAAATTGAACCAAACAGTTCACAACGATTAGTGATGCTCTAAGAAATTAGTTTTCCTATCTTTAAGTATTCGTGATACATATCTGCATGTCTCTATCTACATCATCCTTTAGCAATGCCACAAAAATTAACGTAGAACAAAATAAAACAGTAAATCCCAAGGACAGTGCCCTTCAAGAAGCCAAAGAAATCCACAAATGTTTCTGAAATGTGCAATTGTGCTACGCTTTTTCTTTTTTTTTTTAATGCCCCTATAATAAAATGTAAATGGGGATCTCACGCTGGTCAGTATTCCACAGCTCACACGCCATTACCTTCAACTCCAGAAAATAAAGAAACAGATAATGTTTATAAAGGAATTATAAAAATTATTAGGATTCAAAGAGACTAGTAAAAAATATTTAAAGTCCCTCTCCAGCCTACAGGAAAGCTGGAGAGGGACTTTTTACAAGGGTGTGTAGTGATAGGACAAGGGACAACGGATTTAAACTCAAAGAGGGGAGATTTAGGTTAGATATAAGAAAGAAATTCTTTACATTGAGGGTGGTGAGGTACTAGAACAGGTTGCCCAGAGAAGTTGTGGATGCCCCATCCCTGGCAGTGTTCAAGGCCAGGTTGGACGAGGCTTTGGGCAACCTGGTGTAGTTGAGGATTTCCCTGCCCATGGCAGGGGGGTTGGAACTAGATGATCTTTGAGGTCCCTTCCAACCCAAACCATTCTATGATTCTATGATTTATGACTACAGATACCATACTGAGAAATCTTAGAGAAAACTGGCATCCGTATCTGATTGAAGCTGGCATCCACCAGCTTGAAGTTTAACCATCAACAAGGAAACAGAGGGGGAAAAAAACCCAGAAAATAGAGACCACTTTCAAGTCCTGGAGTTACTAAAATCAGTGACCAACAGAACAGTTCAAGGTACAACGCTCCCACAGAGGAGCAGGCAGAAAGACTTATGTTAAGGGACTTAAAGTTACTGCGGACACATTTTAAAGATAAGTGTGACTTTAACCACTTCAGGTACGTGTATCCGAACTGTTCAAATGTGTTCAATATATGAAATATTTGGAAGGGAGAAAATATGCATCACTGTCTACAAACAAAAAGACCGTCACGAGCACATTAATTTCTTGAAAGTGAAGAACTACTGAGAAGAGTCTTACTTTCTGCTTGTATTTATCAAAGAGCTCTTAGCCATAGAATGCCACTTGCTGGAGGTTGTTGAAGAGAAAAAGACGACTCAGAGCAAGGCAGGCTTGCATATTCTAAGATAACTGGTTGTAATTATTGGCAAAGCAATCCATGAACTAGTCCTATTCATGTCTTTATATTCAATCAAACTGCAAGCTGGCTCGCTCATCTTACCGTCTTCTGCAATATCTTCGTTTTCTTTTTCTTCTTCTAATTCTATTTCATCATCTTCTAACTCCTGTCTCTCTTGTTTTAGTTCTCTCTTTGCAATTGGCTTAGTATCTTCATCTGTTTTCTACAACAAATTAAAAATCAATTTACATTTAAATCAAAGTAAGAATTAAACACAACAGCCACTGTAAGCTAAGTAATATCAATGACACACTAAAAGTGCATATTGTTGCACTGATGCTAAGAGTTTTCAAATAAAGTGTTAAGAATAAAACCAAATAAAAATACAGTAAATTTCTCTAACCTTTGCTGGCCAGCAGAACAACACACCTAGACCAACAGGGAGAGCCAAAGTCAAGATGTAAAGAACCCAGAGCCATGGGTGGTCTTCTGCAGCAGTCACCAGTTGACTAAACATACCAGGCTATATTGAAAACAAGTAAAAAAAAAAAAGATTTTGCATTTACACCCTTCTCAACACTTCAAGTTTATAAAGGGTACTGTATATATTTTAAGCTTTATGCTGCCCAAAGAAAACCTTTCTTTACCTTTGCTTTCTAATGACTAAAACAATATCGTATTTCAATACTAGTAAAGTAACAACTTGACAGACTGCAAATAAATAGCAGGTGCTAAGAAGGAACAAAGCTGGTACTCCAAACATACTTGACTGGTCACTACTTAATTCTGTAAAGCTATATGTGGAGTCTTGGCAACCTCACACTTCACACCCTTCCCAGCTACTCTGTTTCCCCCACCCCCCGGTGCTGTGCTAACTCAGTTGAAAGCTCCCAAAGCATCCAGAACCACAGAGCTGCAGCCAGCCTCCTGGAGAGCAATGTCTTGTTCCATCTGTACTGCCATGTTCTCTCCTCTGATAGCCAATTATTCAGGGAGTAAATTGCCCTCCCAGCCCAGTTCTGACCTATACAGTACAGGTAGGTAGGCAAGCACCTGGTTCAATTAGACATCTGGAAAGGGAACATCAGCAAGTAAGGTAGGAAGCTCGAGAGGCACAATGGAGCGAGGAGACTCAAGGAAGTATTTTTTGCTACTGTGTGTAAAGGTATAGATGCAGGTCCAGACATAAACCCAAACATTTCAGAAAAGGGCAAGGTTACGGGAAGGAGGTGCCTTTCCTAATTGCATGGGCAGACAGGCTGATGCTACTTGCTTATCCTGTGACAAACAGCAGCCGTCCGGAATTGGCCACATTTGCCACCAAGCCCTGGTGCCTTTCCCACAGCTGCAGGCCTGCTCTTGCCACTCAATCAAAGAAAATACGGGACTGCTAGAAAGAAATTGCAGTCAGTAAAGGCAGCCACTAGAGGGGCTCACCATCCCGTGTGTCAGGATACGTTCATCCTACAGCAGAGGAAAGGATCTAGAAGAAACTGCGGTGGCTGGCCAAGTGCAGTATGCAAACAAAATGTGGATGAGCACATAGAAACAGAAAAGATGCAGCTCCATGAACATTCTTGCACTATTTTCAGAGCTGCATAACATACATCTAAGCAGCCAAAGGCCTAAAGTTATTAAACAGAAAAAACACATGACTATTTATCCATTCCTCATGAGACGGAAACATCTGAAGAACATCTGCAATAGAGTAGCCACAAGCGAAAAAACAAAAGAAAAAACCAACACAACACGTCCTTGAGTGTAACTAACTCAACTTCCATTTGCTGACAGGTTCTGAATTTCTAGTATCACTGAACAGCAGAAGACAGGTTAACTGTAAGGCAGCAAATTTGTCGCTAGGTCTTTAAGTAAAACGTTGTACCCTTTTAATTTCAAGAGGATCTTGATCTGGGAAGGGTAAAAACCCAAACTACAAGGGGGAAAAAAACCCTATCATAGTTACTCAGCAAGACTATTAACTGCAGACAAATTAATAATCTGTCAGCATTAATCGACAGAAAATTCTTCCAACAGCACATCTTCCTCACTGCTTTTGGCTACCAAGAACACAGCAAATTTTATACCTCATTAGCACTTGCTACTAATTTCTTCAAGCCCCAGCCATCTGCTGCCCAACGGTCTGCTACTTCTTTTTCTGAACATATAATGAAGTTATCGAAGTAGATATCAGATGTCATAGACCAGAGTTCTAAACCAACAGCACTGACAGTGGTCATCTTGAACGGGTGAAGATCTTCAAAATAGTCCGGGTTAGGAATTTTCCGAGGGCTCCAGATGCCCTTTTAAGGAAAAAAAGAAATGCAATCACATTACCTATAACCTCACTAGAAAACAAACTGTGAAACAAATTTTAAAATAATTAGAACTTCCCGACTAATTTAAATGCATTGTTTAAAAGGACAAGCAGTAGCGGTGAACCTACATAAAAACAGAATTGGAAATAGCCTACAGGATTTTTGGCAGATGGGTCTCAGTTTTCTGTCTTAGGGTGGACCTCTTAAAAATTATTTTTTTTTCTGTCCATTCAGGGTTACAGTAATAACTGTATTTTACAAAGTATCTCTGTTCTTCCTGGTACTGGTAATTCCAAGCACAGTCTTTGTAAACTTCCTAGAGTAAGTCTAGGAAACAAGTTTCCTACTACTGCAGGAAAATAAGACATTGTTATTACTTCTTCCTCTAGTCTCTCCTTATCTAATATAAGGTTTTGGCTTTTGTTCATCAGTACAGCAGATGCATTGTTGTAAAGGGCACTGGTCAATATTTTGTGGCCAGTGATGGAATCTTCGGAGGTAAGCATCTCTTGTCTGGTGGCCTAAAGACTGCAGGGCAACTACATCCCGTGGTCCACACAGTCCCTTCCAGTTTATATATATAACTGACAGCTACTGTAACCAGAAGTGTTTGGGAAAATTTTAGGGAAGGAAAATTCAGCCTTATGATACCTGCGCAAATTAGAGCCAAATTTTGTTTACAAATGTGCTTAGGATCTCAAGCTCAAAGAAACCAGATTCATGTACTCCCTAGCTATAATCAATACAAAGTAACTCTCTTTAATATCCATCTGATTACCTCTTATATCTGGAGGGGAGGAGTGGAATTTAATTATCCAAAATTGATGCTTCCACTAAAATGGAACTAGTAAGTCAATCTGCTTACTGAAAGGTTTAATTTTTTAAATAAAAAAAAAATGTTCATTTAAAAAAAAACACACTTAGAACCTCAACAAAAAAGAGAAATATTTCATTAAACGATAATGTAATTCAGAATACAATTCTACAGAGCATATTAAGTAAGTGGCACCAGTGCAAATTGGTGCAAAAGCAACTTTTAACAGAGCAATTGTTTTAATATAAGAAACATTTCTATTTTCCAGTATACATAAAAGAAAAAGAAAGGCAAATTAAATACAAAAAAGCTCAAAATGTTTATTGTGGGTATTCAGACTCATCCTAAAATATACATATACTGTAAAAGAGCCTAGATAAATGCACCACTTTGACTTGCCTGCTTTGTTGAACTCTGTCCCTTTTAACAACGACGTACAATATTGCTATTACCTGATAGTTAGGATTGTCTATCATAGGTGCTTTCCATTTTCCTTTATAATTTGGGTTATTCTTCATGGGACGCACCCAGCGTCCACAACCAGGTGCAGTCTCACACTTTGGATTAGGGATCTGAGGGGCTTCCCACTCCCCATCCATTTCTTCATCCCTACAGAAAAAAAAAAATTTACAAACAACTGATGTAGATGCCCCATCCCTGGAGGTGTTCAAGGCCAGGCTAGATGAGGCTTTGAGCAGTCTGGTCTGGTGGAAGGTGTCCCTGCCCATGGCAGGGAGATTGGAATTAGATGATCTTTGAGGTCCCTTCCAACCTGAACTGTTCTATGATTTGAGATCAGACGGGTCTGAACACTAGCAGTCAGTCTGAAGTTAAGGTCCATACACATTTTCCTCTAACAGCTTCAGAGTTTTGACCAGCTCACAGAGCTAAACACTTTTTTTTTTTTTAAAGGTCATATGTTCATAATTACCACAACATGATCGAATGCAATTATATTCCTGCATCTGCAGGCAGCTTGAAACACCTCTCCATGAGATGCTGAGAGATGCCTTTGAGACTATTATATGATGATTTCAAGTTATCAACTTAAACTGTTTCATGGTTTAACACTGTAGCAAATTCTTTGTAAAGGGTCCTTCATATTCTGTTTTTCTTTATGTATCTTCAGAAAACAAAAAGCAATTTACAGGTTTGTGTTTTTCTAACAACAGTCCCCCCAAACCAACAAATATTTGGCCATACCTTACACATTCCCACTTACTACCTCAAAAGACAATGAGATTTGAATTGACTTCTGATCCACAACTCAGAATTTGCCACATGTAATAGGCAGGCTTATCTACAAGACACATTAATAACCTGCACCTGTTGATTGAGTTCTTACCAGTCCTTTGGTTTTTTTGCATTAGGGTCTGGAACATACTGTGGTTCATCATCAAGCCACCCCTCAGGCTTAACAGCATCAGGATCTTCTATTTTGGAAGGCTCATCTTCATCCCTTCAATTACAGACTTATGTTAGAAAACACAGAGGCATGTAACTGGCACAAAAGGGATGATTTTCAAAGGCACAACAGAATTAGACACACTGATCATGAAAATTAGGCATCCAATTATCTGTTTATAAATCTTTGAATTATATTTACATTGTTTGAAAGAACTACTTAGCCCAGAAATTGCTGCCATAAACTGGCAGGTGTCAGTCAGGTCTTCCAATTAAATTTTTCCCTCTGCTTCCTCAGTTGCCATATGAACAATAGCTTACACAGAAGGAAGGAGAAATCATTAAATGTAAATTAAGGCTATATGAGAAAAAATATCTCTTCCTAATCTTTCAGGTATAGTAATCTTAGTTACTAGTTGCAGCCATGGAAGGTACAAATCAGCAAAAAGCACAATTATTTTTTTCCTTAGAAGATGGTCCTCGTACCCACCTTGATTATTTTTTCAAATTTTAGTGTTTTTTTTTGCAGCAAAACGTATCCCAATTGTCATTAGCAGAAAACAAAATAAAGCCAGTCAAATCTTTCAAATGAATAACCTGCATGTAGAAGGTACTGTACAACTAAAAATGTTCTCCTTACCAGTCATCTGGTTTGACAGCATTTGGATCAGGTATTTTTGGTCTCTCATCCCAATCATCAGGCTTCTTATCACTAGGATCCTCTATTTCTTTGGGAGGGTTTACTGGAGGAACCATATCCTCAAGGAGACTTCCTTTACTGACAACCGATTGGTCAATCAGCATTTCAAATGTATCATCTGGTTTTAGCACTAAATTGAAGAAATTTGTATTAAAGAAGTAAGAGAAGCATTCATTTTACAAATATCTTCAACCAAAACCTATATGATAAGCACAGACTTAGACAAATAATGGCAAACAGGATCCTCACTAACAGAGCAGGAGACAGAGTCCCCGCTCAGGTACTGGATCTGGACACCAAACATCCCCACAGTAGCAACTGAAATGTGGAACCAGTATCAGGCCTGTTCTAACGAACAGCCCAAATACAGAAACGCATGCAGTTCTTTACCACAAGAACAGTATTTTGTTTCACTTGTTCCTATTGCCCAAAAGTGAAAGTTTGCTATGGCACACTATGGTAATTTATGTTAAAGAACAGTAAGCTTGCCCATGGCATAGCAGTTGCCCAGAGAAGTTGTAGATGCCCCATCCCTGGAAGTGTTCAAGGCCAGGTTGGATGAGGCTTTGGGCAACCTGGTGTAGTTGAGAGTTTCCCTGCCCATGGCAGGGGGGTTGGAACTAGATGATCTTTGAGGTCCCTTCCAACCCAAACCATTCTATGATTCTATGTCTTCCATAATTATTCAATGGAAGTTCAAAAGTGCAGTCAATTTTGCTGGATTTGCATGATGCTACCAATTGGCCCATTCTTCTCCGATTATTCTTCCTCAGAAATTACAAAAAGAGGGGGGAAAAAAAAATCTAAGAAAGTAAACTTTCATCTCTGATATATCTTTCATTGGTACAGAAAGAGAAGTCACATGAATTAAAACCAGCCCATATTCATTCCTCTTCAGAGGCTGCAGTAACGTGTCTGCTGCAGATGCAGGGGTTAGTGAGAACTCGTAACGTGTGCAGGACAGCTGCGTGCGGCGTGCTGCAGATTTAACTGAATTCCTGTGAACTCTGAAGCCTTTCTAGACTACTGGGTGGCTGTGGGCTTTTAATATCTTTCCTAACAAAACTACTTTTATCATAATGAGTACTGAAAGTATTAATCAATTCTTCACGCTAAAGGCTGGCCAGGGCTGATATGTTTTTTCCTATAATTGAATATTAAACAGCAGCATTTCAATGCCACTTTTATGTCCTGCAGTTAAGCTCAGTTATTAAATCATTTAAGCTCAGTCATTAAATCGTTTAAGCCCAAATCATTAAGGAACCACCCCTCAGAATTAACAGACTATTACAAACACAAAAAGCAGACTCAGATACAAAGCTGCAGTAGACAGAAGCACATTTTTAATCTCTCCTTTCCAATTTAAGCTTAAAAGAATTAAACAATACCAAGAGTATATAGATGCGTCTTCTTGTCCAAATAGAATTTTTTTAGGTCTACGTCAGGACGTTTCGCATGTTTTTCATCATATTCTCCAGTTTTAGGATTCCTATGTCTGAAGATAAAGTGTAGTTTGTAATCTTCTCCACATTTATCTGGTCCAAACATAATAGTATAAGGTGTTTTGTCAAAAAAGTATTCCTGTAGAAGCAAGAAAGCTGAGCATGTGTTATACTGTACGTTTCAAGAAGTCATTTTGAGTAGTACTTTTCCTTGATGCTGTGGCATACAGCACAGTTACGTTTTTAGAAAAGGTAACTGAAAACTGGTAGGGTAAATCATGAAAGGAATTAAACAGTCCTCTTGAGTTGCTGGGTGCTCTCTGTTCTCAGGGAACATGCTAACTGCAGAGATCACTTAAGCCTCTTCAAGAAAGACAAATATATTTATTTAGACCTTACCCTCATGTTAAGTGGAAATGCCTGTCACAAATCAAAACACTCAAATATCTGTAACCTTCTACAAACATTACCCTAAAAGATGGAAGGGAACTAGTTACTGTTCCTCGTATCAATTGTATTTTTCAATAAAGATAAACCCCAGGATATTATTATCCAATGTTTTATCAGTCCTCTTGCTCCACATTAAATAAGCACCACAAACAACCCTGAAAATCTCAGATATAGCTATTCTCCTTCAGAATATGTTGCAGTATGCTAGTTAGGTATGTCAGTACTTTCCAACTATTTAAATGATTTTTCTATTTGGAATATGCAGTAACATGCTGCCTTATATTCTTAAGCAATTGCTTGAAGAAAGACCACCACTAGATTCCTGGAAGTTTTCTTCTTGAAAGATACATTCTGACATAAATGTGTTGTTTGAAAGGAGTCTCTATTTTTGAATTTTTTGAATGCAAAGTAAATAATTTTCACTTTATGCACTTCAGAAATGCACGTATTTTAAGTCTGGTCCCTTTTACAACATTCAGCAGTCTTAGGAAAATGTCACTGCTAAGAATTTACAATCAATAACTGACCATTCTAGTAGCTATAAGCATATATGCAGCATTGAGACATGTCCCATTTTGAAGTTAAAAAAAACCCAAAAACACAAGACAGAGAGAACACTGACTCTTAAGTTACCTCATTGCACAGCCAGTGAAACCTCAAAACCAGTACAGGATAAATTGTGAGCCAGGCCATAAACAGGCAAATTTTGCATTTGCTATCTTCTGGTCTACCTTCTAGTAAGATGACAGATACTTGTGAATTACAGTTCCATGTGTAATTGAGCCAAGTATCTCAGGCTCATATCTTCTTTTAAAATGTAAAACTTTTTAGTTTTACTACCACTTACACATCTTTCCGCTGTGAAAGATGTCATGCCTCTACTTGCTTTCCTACAATCTGTATTTTTAATACTTATCTATTAGTACTCAAGTTACTTGAGCATAAAACACACACTGGCATGTAAATTTTAGAAAAAAGGAAGGGCCTTAATTTGCATTAAAGCTTTTATTAATACATCTTAAAAATGCTTACAAGCAACTTCTTCTGCATGTCACCATCTCCTAGACTCTTGCAGGGGTACATATTATCCCTTACATCTCAAGAAGGGTCCCACCGTTAAGTGGCTCTTCCTGACTCCTGGTTTGCAGGTCAGGTCAAGCAATGTCTTGAGCCTGTCCTGAGCAATCTCCTCGTCATTTTGCACATACGCAGTGCATCACACTTCACTGCTGTTCCCTCAGTACTTCAAAGTCAAGGTTATGGTCTCGTGGGTCAAGGCGGCAGGAGCAGGCACAGATGTCCCAGGGATAAAAGCACAGATGAAAAACTTACCCAGAGAGGAAATGATGAATTCTGCTGGCACTTCTGTTACAAGTGTTTTTCCAGACTATTCCCTTTTGGTTTTTTTCCATGAGTTCGCTTTTTTATTTTACCAAATCTTGGTGAGCAAATGGTATGGCCTGATGCACCCAAAATCCAACAACTTCTACAGCCCATACAGGTGGTAACTGTGATTGCCTTGCAAACTTCTGTCACTACACTACTGAATGTTGGCTCAACATCATCAGTTAGCCACAAACCTGCAGCAGTTAGGGTAGTCAGCTTTTAAGTGGCCACAGCTTCCTGCTTCAGGATTGGAAGTACTCTTACCAGTTCCTGTTTGTACTGCTGAATCAACACAAGTTTCTCCTAGCTCATGATGTAACATTTTGAATCCACACTGGTCGTTCCAAGACTGTCCAAATGCATAATCCTATTCTGTAACTGCTGCTATGTACCAAAAGCATCAGCCCCCGTCAAAACAGCTGCAGCAACTGTTGTATATATCAGCCATTGCTACTCTGCCAACTCAACATTTGCGTCGCACGAGCTCCTAGGATACAATTCACTGCCAGTTCTGAATGTAAAAAAAAAAGTTGCTAAAATATCCTCCATCAGAGGCTAGGCAGCTTATATCTACACCCCAGTATAGTGGCAGAAATATTAAGTGCGGAAACAACCAGTTTGCACATGCTGGAACTAAGACTTGGCTAGCACAGGCAGCATTTTAATCAAGAAACACATGATTGCATTGGCATAGCAATAAAGAGTTTGCAGACAAGTTCGGTGAGGGCGGACAAGTTCACATCAATCTATTGAGAAACAACCTACAAAACGGTCCAGCATACTAAGGCACTTAATTTTTCACACCTGGTCATTCAGACCTTTTCCTGGGAATAGAGATTCTCCATCACTTCCAGTTTCTAAATCCAAGTCATGCCCCCCTCTAAGATGCCATGTTGTGTGCCACGCAGTAAAAAAAAAATTATTTCACAAGTTCACGACTTGCGATTCTATCGCTTCTATTATTGCGGAAAGTCAGACTACACAGATACACAAGTCCTTTGTCCTGGATATAAGACACCACTCATGAAGAACTAAGCGGAGTATGTTAATCACAGGAAACTCATCATTCTAACCTTCTAAAATCCACATTTTGAGATTTCTTGTGTGAATATAGATCTTCATAGCTTACTTTGAATTTTAGACTACCTACAAGTTTCATTAAAATAAGCGGAAATTATAACAAGAATAAAATTATCAAATATTCAGAAAAATGCACAGCTCCTAAGGTTTTGTGTATATATAATAAACTATATGTATATTATCATCTTGCCCATTATTCTGCTTAAACATTTGGGACACTTTCAAGAATTTAGAATGCATTAGGAATTAATTTCTTATTGACATTTTGCAAGAACAATTATGCATTCCTCAAATGAACAACTGATAGCAAATGTGAAGTAAGATGACATACCAGATTCAAGTCATCACTACTGGAGATAAGTTTAATATATGCACCACCACAGTCAATGCCTTCTTGAAAATTCACTTCGTATCTGGACAAAGTTAAAAAAAAAATTCCAAGTATCAGACCAAAAAAAATTAATTTCTAATCTGCAGTTCTAATTATGAATACATTAAGACTGTGCATGAGTCATCAGTGTCAAAACACTTCTACATGACCAAAAGGTTTTAACTGCCACACAAGCTAATACAGCAGCAACGTCAGTCAAAGAAAGCCATGGTAGCAAGTGCTACAGTTGGCATCATCAGTAAGAAAAGTTCCAGGGTGGTATCAACCAACATGCAAACATCAAAGTGAAGTAGAAACGGGTAAGAACTCTAGAAATTTGTGTCATCTTTGAAACCACCTGTCTGACACACTGAATTTCGCCAGAGGAGTTAGCTGGATATGTCTGTAAGCACAGCAAAGCAAGTCTGAGCATCAGAAAAAAGTCACATTGCCATGGTGCTCGTCGTCACTAGTAGCACTATAACACTGTCGAGATTCAAGTTGCTTTTACCGCGCTACACAGAAGTATTTTGTAAGTGGAAAACCACTGTACTCAAACTACATATGACTTAGATCTTTCAGACTTGTACTACAATCTTACTTGATTATTACATCATTCATACTTACGGTTTGGATAGCTCTGGATACGACAGGTCAATGCTATATGGAAGTCAGTATTTTTCTACAGGGATTCACATTACTTTCTTGACTTAAAGATTTTAATAATAATAAATATTAAGTAAAAAATCTGAGAGATTACTTACTGAACAATCAAAGGTTTATTATCGAAAACAAATGCCTTTGTTAGCATAGTGGATATTGCATGGTGCTTTGCCACTGATTTTAACACTAATCCTCTATCTCCAGGCACTGTGTTTTCTTTCAGCTCTTCTACTTCCCATCTTCCTAAAACAGACAGACACACACAGTCTCTTTGAAAAAAAAAACATTAGGTTGGAGTAAAGAAATCACAGGCTTGTTGAAAGCAAAGAGTTAACAGCAAATAAAGACCAGATGCCAAAGTAGGGAAGAAATCTTGACATCTGATGTCAACGCAGTTAAAACAATAATCATCCAATTCATTACTGATAATTCTACCATGGATACAAAACATAATTCGAGTCCAGCTTACACCTCCCCAAAATAACTGCTCTACAGTACTCAAGCAGATAAAACATCCATGATATGCAAGTTGGCTGCTCACATCTTTCTACCAAATCAGTGACAATGTTTCAACCAGCACTTTTCAAGAATTAGAAGGCACTAGAATTCCAGCTGCACAATTAAATAAAATTAAAACTGTGTCATGCTAAACATCCATGTAATCCAATGTTCTGGCTCAGACAGGAAGGAGGAAAGAAAGCTTAGCGAAAAAGAATGCAAGTAGTTGTAACAAGAAGTGACAAGCTTTTTCTTTTTTCTTTCCCCAAGTAGCTCTTTCTACAGCAGTAAAGATCTCCGTTTCGTAACTGTTACAGCCAAAAGAAAGAAAATTACCAAAATCTTAGTTCTATGTGTAAACTAGAATTTTTCACCTAAAAAGAAGCCAGCCATGGACTCCAAAGTAGGAAAGAACCACATCCTCACCACAATCCATCATAAACCAATGAAACCAAATAAAAAACATACATATTGAACATAAATGTTTTTACATCACAAAGTTTAATTAAGTTTATTGCACAAATGTGTAGACTGTGTGAATATACACTGGATTTCTGGTCAATTGCAGTATTGTATGAAAGAATCAATATATTTTAGATATGTCATTTTATTCAAGCCCTATGCTCGCATTGCTAATAATAGAGAAAATAACTGTTTCAGAGCTCTGGTTCATATTTAATGAGTTTTATTGTAAAAAAACTATTTCAGCCTTAAGAAATTGGCAGATAATTAAAGAGGTGCCTACACTTTAGGTATGCATGACTCTACACAGAAAGCCCACTCTTCCACTTCACCAAAAAGGTATTAGTGCTAGCTAATTAAGACAATACTAGCTTTCAATATGCTAAAGATGGCACATGTGTAAAGTTTACATTATACCTTACTCTTCTCAAATTTACTGAAATCTACAAGAAAATTTCAATATTGTAGATCTGTATCTTTAAATTGTGGTTTCTGCTGTGGAATCTTTAAATTGTTCCCACAATTCCTAGAGGAACACAAAATATTTCTCCAGATTTCAGATTTATTCCTACCATCATCACATAAAAACCATTAGTCATAAGGCACTGGGTAAGCGAGATACCTGCATGGTTCTTCCCCTCCTGCTTATATAGAATTAGAATCTTTCAGGTCAAATCTAATCACATGGAAGATGAAGCTTCCCCCCTCCCGAAGTCTTTCCAAGCATTATCAGATTTGATCTTAAAGACAGACGAACAAGCCTACAGCTTTAAAAATAAAAGATTATATAATTACAAATTATAAAGTCTCCAAGTTGGGAAAAATACAGTTGATTACACATGTGGGCAATATCCAAAGAACAAGACGACAATTCTAAGACGGCTGTTACATTTTATCAGATATTAGGAGCACGAGATTCACTGATTATTTTTTTTTTTCAGGAATGAACACAGCACAAAAGAAAGACTACTTTTACAATTCACTGTAATCTTGAAAAAAGCCGGTGTCAAAGTGAACAAAAAGAAGAAAACGTAATGAGTTCTTCAGCATGTGTTTTAGACAAGATTCACAAACTGCAAAATCCAAACGAAACAGCTATTTACTTTTATTCAACTGAAGTGGGATTTGTGAAAGGTTATTAAGGAAGGGCAGATATGTATGTCAACAACAAATCCCTAGTTTCTTCTAGTTTGCTAAACAGAAGGGAGGAAAATTCCCTCTTCTTTAACAGTGTTCCTTCCTGGAAACTAAGACCCAGCAATTATGCCAGACAAAAAAAAAAGATCAGAAGAAAAAAAAAAAAAGATTAAAATTTAAATTGGAGAATAGTTCAAAAAAGTCTTTTCATGACAGAGTTTGTTAATGTTGAACTGTCTGGGTGACTTTAAGCAAATATGATTGGTTTGATATTAGAGACAATTTTTATCTAATACGAGGTCAAGTAATCAGAGAGACATTAGTTCTTGTAAGCATCTCATCTGTATGGGTATCTCCTCTGCAATGTCTTTATTGTTACCAGTTATTTCTGGTAACTGCTAAACCTAAACCCATCTGTTCTGTACTGTTTTGCACACTGAAGTCTGCGCTTATCACTTTCTATTAATTGATTTCATTTGACATAAGAGCAGTAGCAAATGCTTTTCTTTTGCAGCAGAAACAACTTCTGTTCTCCCCACTTTTGCTGGAATGAAATAAATTCAGGTTGCAAAATTATTGCCACAGATCACACATCTGTCAAACAGTTTAAAGTTACATTCAAGCAGGCAATTATAGCCTAGGAATTTGTAAGTCAAGTGCAAAACCCAATGATAAACATCAAAACAACTTTTTCATTATTACTTTCCAAATTTTTTTTTTGACTACTGTAAGAATAAACTGTACAAGAACCACTGGAGCACCCTACATTCAAGCACAGAGAATCTGAAAAAGTAGTTTAAAGAAAAACATCATTCCGTTTAACTTTTTTGTTTCAGAGGCTAGACTGGGAGAACAATCCAGGAATCAGTAGGAGTGACACAGCAGCACAAAACATGCTGCTGTAGAAACGTGTTTAACAACTGAAATTGAAGTGGTAAATCTCTGACATAATTCCAGAGAAGGTAGTTCTCAAGAAGCACTATTCATAAACAATCAATACTGAATATTCAGATGCCAGAGGGTATTCTAGTATCAGCCATTGCAAGAAATTGTCGGGATGACAAAAAAAAAAAAAAAATCATCTTCACGCTAAGTAACCCAACGAGCAACATTTCACCTCAGTTTCAGGATAACAGTCATTACACAAACTAACATTTTTGACCTACGCCATCTAGGTTTTCAAAGATAACTACCCCTTACACTGAACTTGTTTCTCAAAGAGTAACAGAACAGCAGAAACTATGTAGTGGAAGCAAACATTAAAATCACTTACCATCATATTTAGAAATGTTATCATCTGTGTCTTCTTTCTTGGTTTTAGACAACACCCACCTGAAACAAAAGGTGTACTAGTCATTGAACTAGCTATGCAAAGCTGTATTATTTAACAAGCACAGGAAAATGAGCTTTTGCTTCTGGTCTGCGAACCTGTGATAACGATTTTGACAGTGAACATCACGGAACTTTGTGTAGTTCAAAGAGCATGAAATGAAAAATTAAAATAGATCAGTCTAATATGGCATTTCAAAATACTTTCTAAGAAGGTAAATGAATATACAATTATAATGCCAAAGTAATTCAATTATTCCGAATAAACTTCAGTTTTACATACAAGCTGAGTTTGGCAGAATGTAAGAATATTATGTAAACATATAATGTCAAAAATACATGGAAAATAGCAAGGTTCAAGTGTAAAATCTTCAATATGATAAGGAAAGAAAAAAAAAAACCCACCCACAGAAACCTTAATACTCTCTGACAGTAACAGTACACATGCACAAGAGAGGACGAAAGGAAAAGGTAGAAGTGTCCAAATGACAAATGCAATTATGCACTGAGCAGATTCCAATCGTATGGCACACAGGGGATTCCAACAGGGCAAACAAACTCCCCATCTCCTAGGAACAAGGCAAACTCAGCTTAACAAATTGAGTTTGGCAAAAAAGATGCGCACATACCCTAGACACAAATTGTTCATTTGGAGGAGGGAGAGAAAAAAAAAGGGCAGTCCATCCTCATCTGGTCATATGGTGGTTCTATCCTGAGCCATGCACAGGAACATTTTAAGTCAGCAGTGTCGCTGAACTCTTCATTGTATCAACTACAATACTACATTCTCATGATTAATGCTGTAAAGAACTATTTTCATTCATTCTGAACTATCCTCTGCATGTATTATTTCAGGGATGAATATCTTTTCTGCTTGAACTTCAGTCACATCTGTACTCTGTTAACAGAGATGCTGGAAAAGCTTCACAGTATAACTGGCAAACTGGATCCTTGGTCTACCAGAAGAATGACCGATGAGGACATAAAACATCTCTACAAATCATGCAGAAGATTTTCAAGGCTTGTTCTCGAAAAAGCCACTCTATTTTAGTGTTTTACATTGTCAATTTATATGTACTCTTTCACCCCATTTTAGGGAAAAAAGGCAACGTGCTGCTTACTTTCTCATACATCTTAGTTCCATACTTGTTATTCTTATGTAAATTAGTACAGCTAGACCAAAAAATCCCAAGCATTGTAGCTAAAGCTTCAAATACTAGATTTAGTAGAAAGACAAACTAATCTTTGAACAGATCTCATGAAGCTAGAAATTGGGATGAATGATACCATTCAAGTATCCCAGTTATGTTTTTGCATTTGTTAATCAAGGTTTTCAGTTGTTTGTTCTGTTTTTTTAACAACCATTATCACCTCTTATACTTAATAATTTTTCTAGTTATCATTGGTACTGCTTTTGTATTGCAGTTCTTAACATTTAGAAGTGACACATCATTAATACACTGAAGATGGGAGCATGCTAACTTATTTTCCTTCTACGTTTGGTCTAAACATGTAACAAAAATAAGAAAATATGAAATAACATAATATGAGTAATAACAGAATAATGTTCAGTGGCCCGAAGTTCTCTGTAACTCGACAGAAGACAACAGTTTAGAAACAACTGGAAAGAGGGATGTCCTGCTTTTGACTGGGACAGAGTGAGTTTTTCTTTTCAGAATTTAGAAGAGCTCTGTGTTTTGGATTTAGTATAGGATTTGTTATGAGAACAAAGCTGATAGCACACTGAGGTTTATAGTTGATGCTGAGACATCAAGGACTTTTCACCTTCTCATGTTTCGTCAGTGCGGAAGCACAACGGGCTGGGAGGCAGCAAGGCCAGGACAAAGGGCCCACAACTGCTCTTATGATTTGAACTTAGATTTAGGATTGAGGGCCAAAGTGGCCAATGGAGCATTCCATATCATGTACCACCATGTCCAGTATGAGGGCTGACTGAGAAGTTGGGAATTCTCTCTTGTGGCAGGACTCTCTCAGACTCTTGGGAGTTCTCTCTCTCACACTCTTTTAGGGCCAGGATTGCAGCGTTGGGACTTACCTGCTTCAGGATCGCTTGCTGGGCTGTGACAGGCGTTTGTCACTGGATGGTGAGCAACTACACTGTGCATCACTTGCTTATGTATATTATGATCATTATATATGTATTTATCAAAATCAAAAGTAAAAATTAAGTTGTTCTTATCTCAGCCCATGAGTCTACTTCCTTTTCCACCTTTGATTCTCTTCCCATTCCCCCAGGAGTGGGAGAGGGTGAGCAAGCGGCTGCACAGCGTTTATTTGCCGGCTGGGTAAAACCACAAGGGAGTAAGATCCAATCATACAAAAGTTACTGGTGCCTGCTACCACGTTATTTTGTTTACAGTTTAAATCATGCATCCTCAACATACGTTTTATTATGGTATAACCTCATTCTTACAGTAGTTAGACCCCAGTCTTCTCATAGTAAGTAAAAAATTGGCAGCTTTAAGTTCAACCATAATGTATGTATCATATTGCATCTCCCTTCACCTCTGTCTGGCTCTTCACAGGAAAGTTAGTTTTTGTTCCATCAATTTTAGTAACATATGAAAACACCTTTTTTCATGGTTCTTCACAAATCAAGAGACAGTTCTTTTGTTCAACAGCATCAAAGTGTATAGGAAAAAAAAATACCAATAACAAGACCTGATTCGTCATTGAAAACCAGACTTACTTTCACAGACCACATTTACAAGGCACTCATTTGTTTTTCCTTGATATTCTACACCCTTTATGTGTGAGCTAGAAAGAAGACTGGAAGCCAAGTTGTTTTCCAACTAAAAATAGTAAATCTATTGCAGAAATAAAAAGTAATACATTATATTGAGTCTTATTGACACTGCATTGGTGGCAACTGACTATAGCTCACAATACACAGCTTTTCATTGAGCAAAACAAGTCACCCAGTCACAGTTACACCTTACATTGCCATACTGTTGGAAGAAAACTTACAGGATACAGACAAGACAAAAATTTCTGTCTTAAAAATTGAGATAAACCTGAAGATTATTCTAAAATTTCAATGCAGTAAGGTCAAACTACCTAGGAACACTTCAGTAGTCTCATAAATATTGAATTCTTATTGAGTACTGGAAACAATACACTAAATTAATTTAAAAAAAATCAGCTAAAAAAAGTCTTGCCCAAGAGAGGCTTTATCTCTGATGCTGAAGGCATTTCCTTCTTACACACACCTAAGTGCATGTAAAAAGGAAGAAAGTTTGCTACTGTAGCGTAATGGCTATGCACTTCACCTTGCAGCTAGTTAAACTCAACTGGTTAAATCTTTACATTATTTTATTTTTCTTAATGTTCATGAAGCCAGAGTTTATTAGAAGCTTCCTTAAAACACAAAAAATAGCAATGTACCCGAAATGTTAACTGACTTAACATGATGGAGTATTTGGAGCAAGCATTACCAGCCTTCCCAATTCTAACTTCTGTAAAAATTAATTTTTATAAAGATAGTAGCAGAAAAATGAATATAAAATCAGTCCTCCCACTACAAATTTAACTGCTGGAAGTGAAAGATTACAATTTTAAGGCATAAACTTACCCAGCCAACACTCTATCAAAGGTTTCTGTAAAATACACTTCCCCAGTTGGCTTTGGAGTCTGGTACACTACCTGAAAGACATGTACAGATACACACTCTAACATAAATTACAATTTTTGATTTGAAACACACTATCATACCTCCAGAAGTAGTCCACTCAGACAGACCACCAGATTTTGTTCATTAGAAACATCTAGCACCATAAAACACCTTTCCCCACACCCCCGCATTTCTACAATTTGAGCACATCCCTCTAACAGTGAGCAGTTTCCCATCTGTGAATTTAAAAAACTGCTTCCTGTGTTCAAAGCTCATAACTAGAGTACTGTTACACATCTCATGTGTAACAAAAACCCAGAAAATTTCCTGAACTTGCTCCAGTTCTCTGCTTCCTCCCTATTTCTATCTATATGTGTTTTCCATTCTTCTGTTTTCCTATTTACTTGGCACATTACAGTGAGGCTACACAGTAAAAAGTTGAAAAAGTAATTTATGAACATTGCCCATGTCTATTATGAAGTATAGCATAACAAATGCAGAAAACTTTTCTGGGAATAAAGACAGCATCAAAAAGCAGCTGTGACTGATGAAATCAAGAAACTGGTCTAAAGTCAAAATCTCAGTAAGACCAAGATGCTTTCTGCTTTCTTCTCCAAAAATGGCATGTTAGGACTTAAAACAAAAGTTTCTGTATCTAGACTGAAGCACAGACTAGCAAAATCATCCTCATGACAACCCACCACAGGCAGGAGAGATGATTTTACCCTTTGGCATACTAGAATCATTCGGTAAGCTTGTCCTACATGTCACATACAGTACCGGAAAAACTCACTCAGACTGGTGGGTTTGACACTCACTCAATTGTCAACTGTGTGTTAACTTGCTCTTTTTAAAATGCATTTGTCTACCAATTTCTCTACTAGTTGTTACTACCTATCTTATAGTTAAACAAGCTTTAGCTAAAGACTTCTGTAATCTTACCTCTAAGGAAGATTTCTCTCTGTCAACATCAGCATCTTGAGACTGCTTGTCAAAATCCTCCACTTCAACATCTGCATCCAGAGTTTCTTCGTTTTCAATTTCTGCAGTCACTGAGCTAATTATCAGGACACTCAAGCACAGCCAGTCCCACTGGAAGTGCATCCTGGCTATCTGAAGAACGGAAAGTTTTAAATTTTAAGTATCGTTACAATGATATTATCAATACTATTTCAATTTTACCCCAGACTTTAATCTACAAGAGAAAAAACACATCAAAATAAGAAATAAAGATCATAAATTATTGTCATTATAGTATTTTAGTAAAGCGCTGTATCTTAACTTGAAAAATTTCTTTCTACACAGCCCTAACTCACACTC